TGATTTACAGGAGGATGGGATTGGGGTGAGGGCTTCCATGTGCTCAGGCCCAACTTCCTTTTTCTGGTTCAGGTCCTTTTTTTTTTTCCTTAAGAACTTGCTTTCTTCTTATCTACCTCCCCAAGTGACTGTTCACAGTTACGACAATGACAAAAAAGTAACTTTGCAATCAATTCTCGCATTTACGAACTTCGCAGGCCTGTAATACCAAGGAAGGCTGAAGTATAATCACAAGCACACAGTTTCACTTAGTGACCGCTTTGCTTAATGACTGAGTTGCCAGTCCCAATTGTGGTTGCTAAACGAGGACTACCTGTAGTCCTTTTAACTTTCTGCTTCAAGTGTAATCAACCTAATGTATTCCTTTTTGTCCTCATGTCCTCCATCCAGCAGGCACAGCCTTAAAATCAAATATTGCCTGGCTTTTTGAGTGTCTTGGGGTTTTTTTGGCAAGGGGGGCTGTTTTCACAACAGTAGTCATTCAAACTTTCTTGTATTGTGACCTTCTAAATAGTCTGTGTCTTCCTTCCTAACATGTGTTGACAGACACAACAGCCTAGATTTACATTACTTTTTTCCTGATTCCAGCAATTATCTTCAATCCAGCCCATTCAAATCTATGGTCACTGCAGATCACGTCACTCAAAAGATTTGTTAAAAAAATATTGTGATGGAAAAACCAGTCTTTCTCATGCTGGAAAAAGTAATTCGTTCATTTTTGCAGTTCTTTCCTGTATTTTTTTTCTTAAAAATATAAGAATCAGAGTAGCCAGGAGAGAACCACGTATGTCACTGTGATGGGATGTAAAATAAAATGATTGCCATGTTTTTCAAGATGCTGTTTGTTTGTTTGTTTGTTTGTTTGTTTGTATATTAAATTGATAGGGCTGCCCATCTCATGAAAAGTGAGTCTGGGCAAGATACAACAAAACGATACAAAAGTAAACGTATAAAAACAGTCATTATTAAAAAATTTGAAAGTCACAAGGCATAAGAGAGAAGAGATGTTAGCAGCAGTAACGGAGCCACGTCAGGAACTCACCAGTCCCCTGAGACCCCAGGCCTGATGACATAACCAGGTCTTGAGGGACTTCCGGAACATCAACAGGGATGGAGCAGACCTCACTTCTGGGGGGAGAAGGTCCCACAAGGCGGGCAGAAAAACTCCCACCTCTTGGGACCCGCCAAGTGTAGCTCCCTCACAGAGGGGACCCGCAGCATGCCTTCTGTGCCAGATCTGGTGGGACAGGCCGATGTAATCGGGGAGAGGCAGTCCCTCAGATAACCTGGCCTCATGCCATGAAGGGCTTTAACGGTCAACATCAGCACCTTGGATTGGGCCCGGAAGCAGACTGGCAACCAATGCAACTCGTGGAGCAGAGGCGTGCCATGTGCTGTTCTAGAGGCACACGTAACTGCCCACCCGCTGCATTCTGCACCAGCTGAAGCTTCCAGATACTCTTCAAGGGCAGCCCCATGTAAAATGCATTTCTTAGGCCGTTGTGTTAAAATACAAAGGAAGACTTTAAAAAACAGATATACAAGTAGTGGTTTGCAAGCCACCTTTTCAAGACCTTGGTCTAGAAGATCCAGAGCTCACCACAGTGTTGAAAACTGGCCATATGATTTTTTGCCAATATGAAAAGAAACAGCCAGTTACTGTAATGTCAGGCCTAATAGATTTGTTCATTTTTTGGATTTATAGGCTCCCCCAATTGCTACAACTCTGGGTGCCAACATTGTAATGTATTAAGAATAAGAATCTAATAATAAAAACAGAATAAAAAGTATCAAAAACAGGGTATCACCCAGGTATACCAAGTCATGCCCATCACTGCCTGTGCCACAGCGTTCTGCATAAGTTGAAACTTCCAAGTAGTGTTCAAGGGCACCCCATGTAGAGCCCACTGTAGTAGTCAAACTGTGGGTGAGTATGGCATGAGTGTCTTCTGAAGGGCCTTCCCTTCTACGAAGGAGAGCAGCTGGTCCACCAAATAGGCTGTGCAAAGGCGGATGTCATTTACCGTTCTCGGCATCTCAAGTCCACCCGTTACTGCAGCCAAATT